AACAAAATTTAAAATTACAGCAATTTGACGTGTCTACAGCTTTTCTCAATGGAACAGTCAAAGAGGAAATCTACATGAACCAACCTGAAGGCTTTAATGATTGCACAGAGAGAGTATGCAAGCTGAAAAGAAGTCTTTATGGCCTAAAACAAGCGCCTTTGTGCTGGAACACCTGTATATCGCAGTATCTGGTGGAATCTGGATTTAAACAATGCACTAATGACCCTTGCCTTTATATACGAAACCAAGTACTAATTGCACTCTACGTTGACGATGGATTAGTAGCGTCAAGTAGTGAAGCAGGAGGCGTTAATTTCATAAAGGAATTAAAGCAGCGGTTCAAAATCACAACAAAACCAGCCAGCTATTTTCTTGGTCTCGAAATCGGTAAATCTAAAGATGGTGATATAACTGTACACCAAAGGTCTTACACCAAGAAAATATTAGAAAGGTTTGGCATGATTGACTGCAAAAGCGTTCCATCTCCTGCTGTAAAAACCTTGAAGGAGGATGATGACAAAGGAACCAACATAAACTTTCCTTATCGCCAAGCGGTAGGTGCGCTGGCATATCTAATGGTCGCCACAAGACCTGACATCAACTATGCAGTGAGTATGGCTTCAAGACATCTTGAAAATCCAACGCAGATGGATATTTTAAAAGTAAAAAGAATTCTAAGATATTTGAAGGGAACTATGGACACCGGACTAATCTTTAGAAATGAAAAAGTCAGAAAGCTAATCTGCTACAGCGATGCAGATCACGGTGGAGACTCTGTTACTGGACACTCTACTACAGGCATGGTGTTCTTGTTTTCTGGACCAATTTTCTGGAAGAGTCAGAAACAATCTTCTGTAGCCATATCTTCTACAGAAGCTGAGCTTATAGCGCTCTCCGAAACTGCCCGGGAAACTATATGGCTACAAGGACTCTTAGAAGAACTGACAGAAGTCGAAAAGCCTGTCATATATGTAGATAATGAATCTGCGATAAAATTATCAGAAAATCCTCCCTGCGAATATCATAAAAGAACAAAACATATAAAGCTCAAGCATTTTTTCATAAGAGAATGTGTCACCAAGGGTGAACTATCTGTGAAACAAGTTTCCTCGGAAAAGCAACTCGCCGATATGTTCACAAAACCTCTCTTTGGACCAAGACTGCGAGATCTAAGTAAAAGAATTGGACTCCAAGGTTTGAACTGTATCAGTCCCTAAAAGTCCTGGGGATGCTAAGAGGACAGCCTTTATTATACCACGAGTAATAAAGAGTCTTTACACTCTTCATAGATCTCTATGACTATAAAAAGAGAGTAGTTGATATTGTCAGCTGTCTTGTAAAAATATATTTAGGTCTTGTGTGTCTTTTATGTAAATACCAAATAAAACTATTATATTTAATTATATTTCCAACTTTGTTTATGTTAATTGACCATCAAATATAAAACTTAATAAGATGCCTAGTACTTTCGGATATATAAAAACAAACTTCTCAATTATAAACAGTAGGAACTTAGTTCGTGTTTGGTTATTTTAAGAAATATGATTAGCTTATAAAAAGTGGGAAATAAAAACCTTTCTTATAAAAATTAAAAACTACTTCATAAAAAGAAAGTACTACATTAAAGTCTGAAGTAGCTACATTAAAAGTCAAATTATCATTCCGTTTCAATCCAAGAAACATTAGAATGCGTCACACCGACATTCTACTATAAAAAAAGAATATTAAGATTTTTATTTATATATACGACTAAAGGACGTGAATGAATAATTAACAAAAATGTTCCGCGAACATTAATGTTCTGTTGACTTTCCGGATAAAGTCTTTGATTATTTCAGGATTAGTGATTAGCAAGTTACAGATAGGACATAATAGGAAAATCATCAGAGAGCTAAGACGATATAAGTGAAATTATTTGTTTTTCTGCAGTTCTGTTGGCTTAATCTTTTAAGTAATTAAGGAATTTCAAATAGAGCGCGTAATATAATCAACAAACTGCCGCTGCCCGTGACTTCGTTCGCGTTAACTTTAGTTTTATTGAAAAACTCACTAGAACATAACATTATTTCCGGGATAAAAAGTATCGTACGTCTCAATCCACGTCAAAATCTATGTGCGTACCTAAATTCACCGAAAACCGTTAAGTAATTTTTGAGTGATATACAAACTTCCACTTTTATTATATTAATAAGGATATTCATATATAGCTAAATAGAAAATTATGACTAGTTTCACTAAATCTCTGTTAATATGTATTCCTGTATCGAATGTTGCGCGTGAGCCAATATTTTCACAGATAAATTTAATAAAAAGAGCACAAAGAAAAAGATTTATCAATAAAAAGTGTTGATGAATGGATAAAACCTGATTGGAAAATCACTATTTTTATTGGTATTTCTCTATGCAAGTCGGTATATTTCAGTGTTTCTTTTGCGGTGCTTCGATATTTTCATAATATTTATTCTGGTCACACTGCTCCATGTATCAGTGTCACATTGCCAATCAATAAATAAAAAAATAATGAGTTTTTGGCGGGATTTCATCGAGTGCGGTTGGCGTCTTATTTTAATTATTCTTAAATTCGTTCATAGTGGATATTGTGAAATAAAATTGGTGTGGTTTTGTGTAACAACTGTCTGCGTAACTGAAGAATTAGTGGAATCATTAAAATATACGCTGTTCCGGTCAAGTGGACGTGAGAATTTTATTGTACTGTTGACCAAAGACTTTATATAATACCTAGACTGTGCACGAAAAAAACTAGTTAATCTAAAGTAAGATTTATATCTGTAGTAATAGGATAGCTATTATCTTGATAAGCGGTCGCTAGTAAAAACGGTCCTGAGTGAGAAAGCACCCAACGGTAGTGTGTCCCTTTCTAACTTCTTGCCAGCTCAATTTATCATTGGGTTTGGTAGAAATGGTAGAAAATGTCATCCTTTTCTATTTGTGATTTACTGATTAATTACCGATACGAACGATTCGTAAACTATGAAACTTATTTAAACATTTCTACAGTTCCTATAAATAATAAAATAATCATTGATATTTTTAAAATAAATCTAAATACAGAGTAAAAAGTAGTATTTAATTAGTTGAGCCTGTTTATACTGAATGTAAGATGGTGATTTGTTCACTTGATGACAATGACAATGATGACACTTGATGACAATTTGATTTGAAATATTGTAAATTTGCTTATTATAGTGTATTTTTTTAAAATGGTGAACTCGTGTTGTGTAACAGGGTGCTACAATGAATCTTATCCCGGTAGCCCTTTTTCTTTTAACGGGTAAGTAAAACTTACAATCATATTCATTAGGTGAACCATGAATTTTGGAGGTAGATGAGATTTTTTTTCTTAACGTGAGTTGTGTGAATTTAATTAATCAATTATTAAATAATGCGGTCGCGGTTACTTCCTTGTTTCGTAGGTACTTTTTAGAGCGTTTTTAGATTCTTATCATCATCATCATCATCAGCCTATTAATGTCCCCACTGCTGGGGCACAGGCCTTCCCTATGGATGGAATAGAGAGGTTGGGCCATGACCCACCAGGCGGGCCCAGTGCGGATTGGCGGGTGCTAACGACTGCAGATGCAGCCGGGACCAACGGCTTAACATGCCTTCCGAAACACGGAGGAACTCGAGATAGATGTTTTTGGTCACCCATCCAATGACCGACCACTGCGAAAGTTGCTTAACTTCAACCATCGCAGTCGAACGCGCTCACCACCTGCGCCATCGAGCTCCTCACAAAAATAGTAAAAAAAAAATTTTTTTTTTTGTATTGTGTATATTTCCGAAGAACGAAAAGCAGAAATTGATGTGGGAAAATGCAGTGCCTGGAAAAATTTATAAGTCGTCAGTTGTTTGCAGTGCGCAATTTAATTATGAATAAGACATATGAATAAGACATTTAAATAAGACTTAGAAGCTACGGGAAGTCCTTAACCCTTGAGCACGTAGGACATAAGGCTACATTGCGACAAAAACTGCGCAAAACTATATTATTTAGCAATGTATAAAAACCAATTTTAATAAAAATATTAATATACCTTAATAAACATACTTTTAACAGTACTTTCCCTTCAGGTGGCTGGCATTACAAAATTCCACCCTCTTTGTCTAATCTCAGTCCAAGCCAAGCTACGCGTGCTAGTTTAAATACCGAATGAAACAGTTCATAGTACCTATGTATTATTATTTTTAAAACCAAATAACTTCGTTTGGTCTGCGTTTAGAGGTATATGCATAGATGAGGTTTTTCATATTAATTAACACTACATAGTCTAAATTACGTAAAATAATAAGTTTTTGTCGATGTAACAGCAAAAAAAAGGTGCCAAAATCAGGTATTGGCATTTATGTTAAATTAATGGTAAGTCTCATCAGACTACACAGATGATACATTATTGTTTCTTAGATTTTCACGCACATCACTCATTAAATAAAACTAGTTTTTCACGGTTTAATGCACGAAACTTTATTTATTTATTGACGTTTCACAGCCTTTACAGGCCGCGTCATCGGAATTTGTCATCATACAAAGACTTAGTGTAACTTTTTATTACACTGTCTTTGTATGATGCACTTAGCAAGTTAAAAACACGCCATGTAGTTTTTATTTTAACTCATAATCACAAATTACTTACATGTTTAGACAGTAGCAGATACTAAACACAATCCTCTTTACAAGCTATATTAAATAACAAATACTAATAACAATTTTTGTCCCGCGTTACGCTTGAATATGGTCACCTCATTAGAAAGGAACACACTACCATTGGAAGCCCTCTCGTCCGGACCGTTTTTAACGCGATGGTGCACAGTCTAAGTATTATATAAAGTCTTTGGTGTTGACTACCTCACAGAAGCTTATCGAAAAAGCCAACTCGATACATTTCGTGCCAAACACTGCAAGAAACATTAGAATGCGTCACACCGACATTCAAATGTAAAAACAAAAAGAAGATTAATTTAATTAAAGATTAGGCTGTATGGGCATTGTTCCCTTTGCCTTCGCTAAAACGGGAAAACTTCAACAAAAAAAAAGTCAGTGTCAGTCACCCCAGCATGGACTTTTATGTCATCCTTGTTCTTCAAAATTCAGATTTCAATTCAACATAAAAGTAGTATTTTGAAAAGAAATAGGTACCTATTAATTTTTTAAACGAAAATGAATAGCACAGCGAAAAAGAAACGACGAATTGAAGGCGTGAAAAGTGAGTACTTAATGGTTCTTTGAATTTATTAGTTAAACCGAGGTAAACTCATTTTAACTCAAGTTTGTTTTAATTAATATTTTCGATGATCGACGACCGTGGACTTTTTCTTTATTAATTTAGTAACTCGATAATGCTTTCTGATTCTTTTATTATCTAATAAGCAAAGGTTGTAAACACCATGTGACCCAATAATACTATTGTTATCGTTACTTTTGTTATGTACATAACTACATTATTAATTGCAATACCTAACGTAATGCTTATTTTATTACAATGTTAACTCATTTTTTTAAGATGAAGAGAAATTAGCAGACTCGGATAATATAGAAAATCACCCTGGAAAAAAATTTAAAAAGCATAGAAAACATACCGCAAAGTTCCGCATTAAGAGTACAGGAGAATGTGCATCTTTGGAAAAACCATTGAACGACAGAGTACCACTGATGCTAACTGATATTCAACATCTGTTATTACATTCATTATTAGGAAATCTCAATTTATCTCAGCCACCTAGGTGGTATGTGTTAGAAAAATGTGATCGCATCAGCCAAACTACTTGTCTCATTTTGGAAGGTATCTCAATTCAGCATTGGGAAAAATACAGTGATAATCTACAAAACACAAAAAACATATTTACTGATTTTGTTGAAATACTGACACCATCTGTATATAATGGTTCATTAGTCCAAGAATTAGCCCTAGTCCCGTTGTCTGAAGTTGACAAAGAAGGAATTATACAAAAATATGGCAGTATGAATTTAGCATTAGAAGCACGGAAAGACTTGATGGTAATGATGAAAGCAGTTTTTCCAGTAAGTAATAAAACAGATGAAAAAGTTAAAGAACAAACTGAAGATAAATTTCCTAGAACTCAGTTAATTCTGTCAGCTTGGCAACTTATTGAGGAGAATTATCCAGTTCCTATTAAGGGTAAATTAAAAAATGCTTATGCAGATTATGTAATGACTAAAGATGAATATATGCCTGTTACTATTAATTCACCCATGTTCGGTTTGGATTGTGAAATGTGTATCACCAATGCTGGTTCTGAACTAACCCGAGTATCAATAGTTAATGAAAAACATGAAACTATTTATGAGTCATTAGTGAAACCTTATAATGACATTACAGATTACTTGACAAGGTTTTCTGGTATCACCCAAACTCTTTTGTGTGATGTAACTAAAAGACTGAAAGATGTTCAAGATGATATAAGAGAATTATTGCCTCCTGATGCTATATTAGTAGGTCATTCTTTGAATATAGATTTACATGCTTTGAAAATGATGCATCCATATGTTATAGACACAAGTTTAATTTACAATTTTACAGGGCAAAGAACTCGTAAACCTAAACTAAAAACATTAGCTAAAGAGTTTCTTGATGTAGATATTCAAACTGGAAAGGCTGGCCATTGCTCTGTTGAGGATTCCTTAGCAACATTAAAATTGGTCCAATTAAAACTTAGCAAAGACATAGAATATGGTGATGCTGTACATACCAATAGACAAAAATATAAAGAGAATATTATTAACAAAATATCAAAAACAGAAGAACTTGCCCTATCAATATTCAATCATATGATTGAACAACGAAAATCTTCCTTAGTTGTTGGATGTGATGATATTACAGGTGATTATCATTCCTATCTATCTCAAGCTAAAGAAAGTGTCACATCCCATTTAAAAAAAGCTAAACCTAAAAAGGTGAAGCTTAATACAGTGGATGAAGTTGAGGAAGTCATAGAAAAACTGTCAGAAGCCACTAAAGAATACAATTTTGCAATGGCTCATTTGAAGCTGGAATTAAATAGTGATACAGAAGCAGAACAGATGCAAATAGTGGATAAATGGATTAATACAGTTTGGAATGATCTAAATCCAAATGCTTTATATGTAGTTGTGTTTGGTGGAACAACTAATGATAATGGTGTGGCTATGATGAAAGTGAAGAGTTATTAATTAAGGCATGTAGAAATAAGCTAAGTATTTGTGTAAATATACCTACTGTTTGATATAAATATGTTTTTAATTAAAAACTATATTTTTTAAGTGTGTTACTTATGCTATTTTATTAAACATTTGTTGACTGTTAAGTTAGTTTAGTGCTTACATAGATAATATACTTTTTATTTGAACCAGGCTCTTAAGTCTTTTGCACTTACTTTGTTCACTCAAGGCAAGGGTCTATTCGATAATTACATGGTGCACATAGGCATTTAAAGTATTCGGCAGCAACTATCCATCCATACTTCCATCTAAACTAATATTATAAATGCGTAAGTGTGTTCATCTGTTACCTCTTCATGTTTAAACCACTGAACGGATTTAGATTATTGAAGTTATACTTCTTTAGGCGCGTTATGAAAAAATGATGAGAGTGAAATTTTAAGATGCGCGCGCATCACTGTAACACAAAATTTTAACACCATGGTCGCTTTAGCGACCAACTTCATGCGTTCTTTTGTGTTTACCGCACAGTAAGAAAATCTACCAACAAAATAGAATCTCTATTTAGTGGGTGCTAACGACTGCATTGTGAAGGCCTATCAAAAGTATTTATTAATCTGGAACAACGGAACCAAAGCGCGATTCAGGAGACTACAGCGCCATCTCTTGACCATTGGTGTAGTAGAACCAAAAACCACGTCTTTATTTTTTGTAATAAAGTAACAGTTATAGGTATTCATATTTATAATATTTATCCACATGTTTCTAGTTTGTATATTCGGAATACGTGTTTGAGTTTCATACAAGTGCAAATCACATATGTTCTAATAAATTATATTCAGTAGCGATTTTAATTGAATATTTTGATTATTTATTTATTTTTTCAAATTAAAACTGAACTTTATTGACTGTGTCCTTTTCCAGACTTTTTATTAATTTATTGTAATTAATTATTTGCATGCAATTAAAAACTAATTTTAAACGATGCCAAAGAAGGATAACTTCTCACGCGCCTACATAAGTACACGCACCCATTTTTTTTTTTGTTTCAGAGATAGTTTAAAAAGGACATAGGATATTTTTTATCCTAGAAATCATACTTTAAGTGGGTGGAAGTTTGTATTGTATGGCATTTTCATGCCGACGAAGTCTCGGTCACCCACTAGTAATATTATAGATACGATAGTGAGTTTATATGTTACGCTTTCACGCCTGATCTAAATTGCGGACGAAAGACGGATTTTAATATGGAAATTGATGGGACCCTGGAGATGGTTAAAAGGTACTTTTCTCACCATAAGTATAGAATTTAAATTGGATGAGAGTTTATATGGGACACAAATAATAAATTATTCCACGTAGACGTAATCGCGTGCACCTGTTACAGGAATATAGTTTCATACAGAAGATTTTTACAAACTTTCATCCTCTATTTAAATCCCTTATCGAATGAATTCCAACAAACCCTCCCTCGTCATTAAAGGAATCTTTCTGCAAAATTTCATTAATCTAGACCCAAGGGAGTCGGCTGCGTGTTGCTAAGTCAGTTTTTGCTTTTATATATAAGATTATGGGTAATTCGTATTCATAAGGGAGACGGTCGATAATCTAAATAAGTGGTTAGCAATCATAACAAAACTTAGCCCACTGTTCGCAATAATCGTTCCCAACTATTGGTCCTTTATTGCCCTCATTCAGCAGCAACAATGTAATCAACCGATGGATGTCCTCTGTTGGACATCCTCCCTCCTCTAAGGATTTCCACACATTACGGTCCTTTTTTTGTGTCTGGGAAATGCCTTACGCATCCTTCAACCACTGGGGGAGCGATAAGAAGGTATGTGGGACTCCTCCCTGTACCCTTCAGCCAACCCTGGAGCTCTCTGAAGTGAACTGGGCCCTACCTACGCCCTGAACAGGGCAACTAAAAACCAGACAATACTCCTGCACCGTCACCCGACACGCACTATGAGAACCGCGGTCCCCCTAGTGCGTGCCGAGAGGGCGGGAATGGTCGCGGCAACCGTCTCCGAATGGCCGCGCACCCGCCAGGTGACACAATACGGTCTTGCGCTTCCTGCTTCCAGTGGGACCCACTAGCTGCTATAACCTCGGAATCTGTATTTTTTTGTTTTCCAAAGAATAAATGTAGTATCGGTCTAACGTTTATTTGGAAAGTGTGTATATTTGTCCGGTGAGTGGATCGACGGTGAGCGAGGGCGGCAGCTCGGCGGCGATGTCCGCCAGCGTCTCCCAGCGGGTGGCGCGGCTGCTGGTCGACTGGCTCGGACTCGTTGCGCCTTCACCAGGCTCCATCCTAAAATTACAGAAGCATATATAATAGGTGAATGAAATACCTCGGCGCACCCGGAAAGCACCCAGATGCAATCACTAATGTAAAGGCCCTGTACTTGGCGAAGCTAGGCTAGTTGGATTAGTGCTTGAGCATTGGATGGATAGAGGTTGGGGGTCGCTGACCTTTCGGCTGGTGCAGGTACTTCAGGACACGGGTGTTTCGGGAAGTATCTGCATCGGATCCAGAGAGAGGCGACCGAGTCGTGCCATGAGTGCGGGGCTGCTGTGGACACTGCTGGGCATACCCCAGAGGAATGTCCAGCGTGGTCGGAGCAGCGTCGTACTCTGGTGGCAACAGTGGGGGGGGGGGGGGATCTCTACTTGCCCAGCATAGTAAGAGCTATGCTGGGCAGTGACAGGTCGTGAGAGGGTTCGTGAGGAACACGACCCTTTTCGCCGCCGGGGGGTGCGGGCTAGGAGAAGGCGTAACAACCGGCTCTTAGTCAACACCGACGGAGGCCAGCGGGGCCCGGACTTGGGAGGTCCAAGCTCTGCATTGCACAGGCCTCTGTATGTAGGTGGGGATGCCCTCGATGCCTCGGGGCATCCCCAAGTTGGGTGGGTCCGTTCGACTCGGACACTCACTGGTGGGGCTGTGGATGTATCCGAAAGGGTTCCCATGGCCTCGTCATACGTTACGTATAACGTATTAATGTTATACGTAACGAACGCCCCTGCCCTACAGGGACACAAGTTTTTCCCATAATATGAACAGAATATCATGAGAGAACGAGCCATAATGTGCTCGATTACTACCTTTAGTAATAACACGCGGTTTATTCATAAACAAAAGTAAATCAGAGTAATTCCATGACTCCAGCATATTATAACCCGTTCTCTCATGAGTTTGCACATGATTTCGACTGTTTCGACCCAGTCAGAAATACAAAGTAACTAAATTTTTCGTCTGTGAAAATCCAATATCGCATTGATGGATTAATAGAAACCCATTAATACGTTTATGCAGACGAAAAACTGAGTCGATTGGTAGATATTATATAGGTAGAATCGATTTAGGTACTGAGTTTTCGCCGTACCGTAACGACATTTAAGAAAAAAATTAAGTTGCAAGACTTAGGATGTTTAAAACACTAACGTATAAAATCTATTTTTTTAAGTCTGTTGGTTACTTAGCCGATGATGTGTTGCTGCATTTATTTAAAAACTTCTTTTTTCTAGTTTTATTTTCTTTAGATTGAAACATCAAGCAGTTACATGCTTTAAAATATATATATATATATATAACTTACTCCTGTTCTTTCCGGTCATTGTCAGATATTCGATCCAGTTCACTTCCTTGGCCAATGGCATCAGCATTATTTTCCTTTCTCTCTTTACCTAAATTTGTCAATTGTTTTTTTTTAGAAATATCTTCTACAGGATTTGCATGATCCACGACAAATAACTCCACGACTTTATCGACGACTTGTTTAAGAGAAGACAATTTCTCTTCAATTTCTATTCTATTTTCTTCCTTGGGGGAACTTTCGACTTGAATAATATGAGGTTTGAGGAAATCTGAAAACGTTTTAATGAATAATTAATAACGATACCTTTTTTTTGTTGTCTGAACATTATACTACGTCAATGGTTCCGAACCACAAAAGGAAAAACCACTTTGTCTGAGTTAAGATGCGGACCGACCGACATGGCGAAACTGTATCGATTTAACTAAAAATATTCTTTGACGAATACGTATAATCTGATTTGCATTTGATAAGCTGATCACGATTCGTGTTAATGTGGACGAGCAATTGACGACATCCGTGGCGAGTGGTATTGGTATGTATAGCGCGGCGGGTTGCAAGATGTCACCTACTCAGAGGACTCCAGTTCGAATCCCGCTGGAGCAAATATTTGTATCTAGTGTTGCCCAAAATCGATCTTCGTCTTCTTCTTGCATTTTCGCAAGACCAAGAACGCCTAATTTTTGCAAGACCAACACCAAGACTCACCACCGTGCAAGATTTGAGCAAGAACAAGACTAAGCCTGCGAGACTCTTGCGTCTTGCAGTTAGAACTGAGTGTCGTTTCAGGGAGTATAGGAGTTCGGGTATACGCTTACCCCCTTATTAATAAACAAGGAATAAGCTTAGACTAGTTACGCCGTGTTTTGTCCATGTCACTCAAATATCATTTGTCATTCAATAGACAGAGACAAAACATGGAGTAACTAATCCAAACGTAGTTATCATTTATTGATAAGAGGGCTAGTGACTCTATGAGACTCAAAATATATACCTTTATATAATAAAATGTAGAAAATTGGACTTAAGGGCCCGCCCTATCACATCTAGACTGTGAATTTTGCGTAAAATGGTAATTTTTGGCGTTCTTAATCTCAGAAACCAAAATTCACTAATAATTTTGACTTATTGAATGCTGCAGATAACTATTGGAACATTTCGTAACGGCCTCGCTTTAAAATTTTGTATTATTTTTTATTAAACTCAAAATTGAAAAGAGCGATTTTCATAAAATGGGCGAAGGATTTTTAAACTTATGAATTGAAACCCTTCTAAACAAATAAAGTGAAAAAAATAGAATATCATTTCTTAATTTAGTCGAATAATTCGTAGCGGCCTCGGAATTTTGAAATAGCATTGATTAAAATGTAGAAATATAATCTTTTTCATAACCAAAAAACTGGAATTAAATCAATTACGTTTTATAAAGAACTATAAATGAAAATTTATAAATATTTATCTATTAATATTTATTTATAATTATTTATAAATTTATATAAATTTTTAAACGTTCTTTCATGGCCTCCAATGTATCTACGTAATGCAAAAAGTGGCCACTTTTGTCACTATCAACGTTCATAAATTATTCCTTCCGTTTGAGGGCTTAAAACAATATTTAAAAATTGTGTTTTACTCTTTTATTTGCGCGAAATAATCAAAACTATTATTCAGAGTCCTGTTTAAAACGCAATTAATTTATTTCCACTAGTTGAGCCACTGAGAGCGTCGAATCACCTTAATGTCATTAATTTGTTTTGCACATGTAAGCTTATTAAACGTAAAAGATTAATAAGAATCAGACTGAA